AGAGGGAGGGAGGGAGGGATGGATTAGTATGGATGCAAAACTTTATTGACAACTTCTGAGGAAGTTGAGATAGCAAAAACAAAAGAGAAAATGATAACTCAGAAGACTATTTCATCTCACAAACATGCCGATTATCATGTATGACAAAATTAATGTCAGAGAAAATATTTTGACTTGGCTTAATTTGTTTTTTGTCTGGGATACAAATGTGTACAGCTGAATGAGATTAGATGAAGACGCAGCAGTCGAGATCTACTCTTGCTTGGTAGTGTTTTGCAGAATATGTATTCCCTTAAGAATGCTTTATGTTTGGGTCTATTTTTTGTAGGCTGGAATGATCACATAATAGATTCCTAAGATATGTGTCTGTAAGAAGAAACCTGAGCTTTTTCTTTGGAAAACATGAAAATTGCAAGCTATTTCATTAAAATAAATGGAAAGAAATGGAAGTTTGTCCAGCAAATTGGTGTAATTTAGAGAATTTGTCCCATATTATGCATATAAACTGGGGTGTAGGTTTTTTTGTTTTTTTTTTTTTTTTTTTTAAATGAGCAGCTGTAGACAGCGTGAATAACTTGAAATTATTTTAGGAAACAGCATTTGCAACAAGTGAATTTAAGGGCAGAGAAAAGCTGTGTTGATCAACTGATGTAAACAGTTTCTTTGAAATTGCTGGAAGTTTTCATTCTAATAGTTGTAAGGATCATTCACTTAGTAATTCACTGAATACAGCTCTGCAAGTTTTTGGTATGTAAAGTATGCATTGTGGGAAAATGTAATGCATTTGTTTCAATAAGTTCATGATTATGCATTTAAGTATAGTCCTGTGAACACAAATGAGTGATTCTTAGCAAAAATGGAAAATGAATAAAACAATTAACTCTGTTGCCATAGTTGACTTGGTGTTATCTGACTTGGTTATAGATACATAGTGTCTATGATAGTGATGATGTACACAATTCTAAGATATGGTTTATTTCTGCAGTTCCAAAGCCTCTGTACTACCTCCCATTGTGGGCTCTCGAAAGTCTAAGGGCAGTGTGAGTATCAAATGCCATATTAAAGTTTGTTTCTAATTTTACTTAATTCCTGCGAATGGAAAGTCCCTGTCCTTTGGGTTTTAATTAAATCTAAACAGAAAAAAATCCACAGCCGCCTGGTGTTGTGCTTATTAAAGCTTGATGAATCTGTAGCTATTTGCAGTGTCAATTAGATGAAATTTGAGAAAATATTATTGCAATAATGACTGCTTTATTTTTTATAAAACCTTCCATAGCAAAGATCAACTGCTGCCTTGAGGTCTTTCCCAGAAACCTTGTCATCTATCTTTGTGTATTTGATTATTTATTTATTCAAATTGTACACCTAAAGGAAAAACAGAACCTTTTACAAAATGTCTTGCAGAAAATGGTGTTTCTTTATGCTGTGTCTGAATAAGGCCCTAAACCTGTTTCCCATCTCATGGTTTTGCCCTAGCTAACCATTAAATACAGACCTTGAGCCTCCACTGCTTCATATCCTGTATAGCTTTTTCTTGTGTACAAAATGATTTAAAAGAGTGCCAAATCAGAATATAAGTATCTGTCATAATTGTGATAGTTGATCATGTCCATTCACTGTTCACAAAACAAAAAAAACCCTGAAGCCACTAAACAACGAAAAGCAATAAAATACACAAGTCTCCATTCCATTCTGTTGAAATTTAGTAGAAGATAAAACCTCAGTATAGAACATATTTTCAAGTGGTGTTTGTTTTTAAAATGTGAGCTTTGCAGTTCTAGCATTTGTAAAAATAACTCATTTACAGTTTCAACTTATCACCTCTTCTACTACTACTTAACAACATGTACAGAAAATTATTTGATATTCACTTTTATTCCATCGGGATTGTAACACACACTGATAACAAGTGTCAAAACTTAAGGAGGCAGAAATATGTACTACTGCTCTTAAATATCTAATGCAACACTAACTGGTATAAGTCATGCAGTTGTTTGCTTTAATTTGAATCTACACTTTTTTACTATTATTGCTTGGCAGTAACAGTCTCCTGTTTGAATTAGAAGAGACTGAAATATTGCTGTGCTCTCATTTCTTTTTACAGAGAAAGGATAAGTGGTAGATTTGATGGTATTGGTAAATAAATGGTAGATTAGATGGTAAAAACTAGATGTATTTAAGTAAGATATCTTAAACAGAAGAATGACATAAAAATGTAATAATGTATGCAGAATTTTTAAAGAGATGTGGGATTTTGTTCAGGACTTATTTTTGTGAAAGATTTTAATTTTATATAGTATTACCTTTTAACTTCAGCAGTGAGGTGAAAAGAATTGTTCATGATCACTGCAGAATGAAAGGCCTTTCTGGTGGGCAAGTTCTAAAATGGCATGCATTGTTCATGCAGCTACACTAAGCAAAAGTGTGAAGTAGAATATATTAATCTTTGGTGATTCAGCTAAGTCTGTGATAAGGTGAACTGTGATAAATTCCAGTTATTGATAAGGTTTTCTGCCCTGTCTGCTTGAGTGTTTTGTTGTTACATGTAATGGTTTTACACAGCTGGATTAGGAAGAAACTACAAGTGCTGTTAGACTGGGTAAAGTAGGGGACTGACAGCCTCTAACGAGTGACAGCAATGAAGGTGTTCAGTTGGTAAAGTCTTTACACAACCTAGAACGATATAAGCAGCACCTTAAAGATCTGCTATATACAGTTCAGGTTTTTATGATGTTGATTATGAACAGATTTAGACTGAAGAAAATGTATATAAATAATAAAATCTCTGGATAGTACACCCAGGATCATACATACATCAGAGCTGTAAAAATAAGGACCAGGTTTCTGGTTCTGTTTCTAGATACATCACAGAGTGAGCAGAGGAACTGTCTGATGTCCCTGGAGGTGATTCAGAGGTGATGTGTGGGCAGACCCTTTTCTTAGTGTCCTCCTGGCAGTCAGTGTTACTGACACATGAAGACTGTCATCCTCTTACAGCTGCTCTTGACCTTAGATTAATGTCCATATCTCATTTACACAGGCAATAATTTATTCACAAGGTATATCTGTTACATCTTATGACTTTCCACACATATGCATAGATGAGATACAGATACGTATCATATGTGTGCATAGAGATTCACCTAGCCATTCTTTTCATCATATAGAGCATTATTTCTTTATAATAAATGAGTTATTTTGTTCTGGGAGTTGTTGAGCAGCATTTAATCAGTCAGATTATATAGTAAATTGATGAGATAGTTAGTTTTCTGGATAGTTTAAGATATCACTTAACTGTATTGATTGTAAATTAATATGCTTCTTTTAACAACTAATACCAATCCTTAGTATTAAAAGGTTGAAGTAATATTGAAATAAAAAAATAAACTGTAATTTTTATTATTGATAAACTGTAAATTAATAAAAAATAAAATAATTTTTTTAACCCTGTAATTTTTATCATTGATCCACTTCTTTTCAGGGAAATGATCGGCAATCTAAATCTACTGTTGGATCCAGTGACACAGGAGAAAACAGTTCCTCACCTCAGCTTCTGAAAAGGAAAGACAAAAAAAGCCAGAATCCAGAGGATTCTGTGTCTAGACGGCACTTTTCTAACAACTCTACAAAAATAAAACAGACAATAAGAGTAACAGCTTCCACAGCAGTCCTTCAAGATAATGGTCAGTACTGAGATAAACACTCATGTAGCTTTTGATCTTCAGTTAAAAAGTGAAATAGTGAAATAATATGCTTGTGTAGTTCTTGAATTGTCCGTTTACTCTGGCTAACTGAATTTACAAAAGTTCTTTCTGCTTAGGAAATGTACCTATGCATAACTGCTACATTCCTGGCTTTATTTACATACCACAGGAGGCTGTATATGATTTTTAGTATACCTTGGAAGTTAAACTAATATGGTCCTATTTTATATTTTTGATAAAAGCATGATAGAAAACATATTTTGAACATTTTCCCACTGTTTTTCCCTGAAAAAAAGTGAAGAAAAGGAGCTGGTCTGCTCAAAGGATACCTTGCTGTCCCTGAGGATCCCTGGCTAGCTGCCTGGTTCTGTATAACAAAATGACTAGACCTTGGGGGAATAACACAAACACAAACTCCAGTTAGCTGATAGCTGCTGAGACTAATCATAAAGCAGAGCTGCTGGAGGCACCTTCAGAATTTCTCCCCTACTGTGCTGTGGCAGCAATTTAGAAATTTAGTTGTAAACATCCTCTCTGAGGATGTTTTTCTATCTTATGGTAGATAGATACTCCCTCTCACCCTCCACATCCTCACTCTCCAGGAGACTGTCCCCCCACTACAGGTATTGCTGCTATGGCTATTTTTCCTCATGAGTAATAGTTCCAGAAGTCATTAATACAGGCCAATTAATATCTGCCAGAAGAAATAAATTATACTTTTCATAGCATTTGACATTTCTTCTCAGTGCTAAGTGTTAATAATTAAGTGTGCAGTAACAAATTGTGATCTAAAACTTCAGTGTATGTCATCCAACAGCATAGTTTTGTATCTCTGTCTAGAATCATGAGCCGTAAATTTACTTTGAGTCAGGATCAGGTTTGTAAATTTGAGTTTTAAAAGATCAATGAAATAGAATATTTTGTAATACAATTATCTTTTCAAGAGTTAGCTTGTTGAATTTCAGGTTTATTTTAGTGTTGATTCAAATACAATTCTATCCTTTTTCTGGTAATTGAACATAATTTTAGACAACTCTGTTTTGGTCAAGTTTTTTTTCTTACTGAAGAACATTATATTATAATGAAAGTGACTGGAAACATTTGTCCTTTATAACTCATGAAATGACTGAATATATTATTCTTCTTGAAATCATCATGGTGCATCCCCACTTTTTACAGACTGGTGCATGCTAAAAGCATGAGGGAGAGACTACCAGAGCTGACCTCTCAGAAGGGCCCTTGCATACTTGGCTTACCATTTTTGAAGGCTCAGAATAATGTAAGATGCAAAAAATGCAGGGAAAGGCTTTTACATTTAGGTGGTTGTCCATCCTGGATATCTTAAATTGTTGATATGTATGGTTTGTTGTTTTTGTTTTTGAAACAGATGCATTGACTTCTGTTGGGAAATGCTAGTACAGAATTCTTTATACAGAGCTCAAAATCCACATGTTCTGTTTTATTCTCCTGTTAGAAGTACTGCGCTGCTCTGCACCCATACTTATGACTAGAAAGATCTCAGTCAGACCTTTTAAGAACAGCCAAGCCATATAACTTTTTCTGATAGGTATAGTGCCATTATAATGATTTTTTTATATGCTATTTTTTCTGGCCTGAGAATTTTTGTAAGTAAAGTTTCTACAGATGTTTCCTGGAAGCAAATGGACCCCTCTTGCCAAGGTGAGACAAATTTGTTCTTTGCTTTTGTCAGCCTTACATCAGGTTATTGGAGGTTTCCAATTGCTTTCTTTAATTTCCCAGTGGAGGGGAGAGTACTAGAAGAAGCAATAGTTTCTTTGTCCTTTCAGCAGGCAGTGACTAAGAGACAAATCTTACTTTGGTAGATAGCAGACAAATACAGGGAGATACTTCTCCATATTTAGCATTATTGCTGCTCCACCTGCTGACAGAAATGGTTGGAAATCCACTAAGTTTACTGAAGGAATGATTGCTTGTATCTGACTTAAGCTTTTCCATGCTTTGTGAGTCTTGAGTAACTAGGAAAAGCTGTTCAAGGCAGCCAATTCTCTGGTTTGAGCTAAAGGGAGAAGCTCTCTTCTTTCTGTGCTCTTCTATTTATCCTCCATGTGTGAAGCAGTTTGATGTGTGTGCTATTCTGCAAGTCTAGATAGACCTAGCTGGTCATACAGCCAGGTGCTGGGGGAGATGAAGTCTCTAGGTTAAATTCAGACAACAGTATGGAATGAGAAATCCAGAGCTGTGTAATCCCTGCTCTCAGTGGATCTCTGTTCAGAAAGAGATACATACTAAGCCAGTGAGAACTGTCGTCTTCTGCCAAGCACAAAAAGAAAACCATCTCGTGTTACTGTAGGCCAACCACAGTGCCAAAGGCAGACTTGTGAGCATCTACAGATTTATCTTTCCCAAATTAAATTCCCTAGTATTTGTTCAGCCAGATCAAGTGGAAAACATTCCAGGAAGAGGTTGCCTTAAGCTTTGTATCACAAGGCTTTAAATTGATTTTTCAGCACTGCTTATATTTTGAGAAGAGGTGCATCCTTATTATGACTTTCTTCTAGTTCAGCTTAAATGTCGGTTTTCTTTCCTTTAGTCATTTTGGCTAGAAATTTGTAAGGAAATGCTTCACATTCCTTAAAATCCACAGAGATTTTTTTTGAGGGGGGTTTAGATTTTTTTCCCCTCTCTGGAAGAGGTACAGCTGTGCTTGCTGAAGTGGTTTTTGTCATAATAGACAAGCACTATATCTGAACCACGTTCTGAAATAGGTGTGTTTCATTATAAAGAGGGTAATTCAGCCTCTGTACGTAGTTTATTTTCTGTGTTGTGTGAGGTCTAACAGACTGGTAGAGGTACCCAACTTTTTGACCAGAGCTGATGCTGTTGGCAAAACATCTGAGGTTTCTTTTGACCCACTGAGTCAAGTGCCATGTGTCACCATTTAAAGAGAAGCAAAAATGTCCTTCTGGAAGCATCTGAGGTACAGTGTTGGAAAGGAGGTGGAGCAGGACTATGAAAGAGTGCTAATAGCTGTTTCTGCTTCTACTGCAGGAAGCAGGCAAGGCATTCATATCAAATTATATGTTTCTTCATAATCACTCTGTTAACCCATCTTAACCTGAAGACTCCACACTGCTTGCAGTTTCTTTTTGTTTTGTTCTGAAGCATGATAAATTGGGTAACTTAAACAATATAGTGTCAAAATCCCAAAATTCACAATGTTTAATCCAGTGATGACTGTATACCAGAAATTATTAATGTGCTATTGTTGTGAATGTGGCACAAAATATAGGAAATTATTTCATGCTAAAATAATTAATGTTCCAGAAAAAAAATAATGTATTTCATCATTAAAATTAAGTACTAAAATTCACCTATAAGATTGTTAGTGGTACCTAACACCACTCAATTACTTTGAAATTGAGTGCTTCAATGTACTTAGTATACATTTCCCTAGGAGGTAATAATGCCTTTCAGAGAGATAGGAAATGTCTAGATTTATAGCTACAATTGTTTAAATTTACCCTTATCTTTGAGAATCTCTGGAGATGGCATTTAGTTTCTAAAATATTTTTTAAAGTTATTAGTGTAATGGTAGTTTTACAGCTGGAACTATTCTTGAGCAATATACTAATAGTAGGTTGTGTGTTACTCAGATAATAACTTCGGTATGTTTTTTGCATGCAGACAGATATTTTATTTGTTTTCTATTGAATCCTACAAATGTAAAAGAGGAGTTAACACACCATGCCATGTTTGGTAACTGAAGTCTGTCAGTATATGTTCCTTTTCTGTTCTTTCCCATGTAAATGAACAGCAGGCTTCTCTCTGGAGACTCAAAAGCACTAGGAAATAAACATCTCCACGTGAGATGTGAAATCTTAAATTGCTCTTGCACTTTTTTGCCCATATTTGTCTGCTTCTGAGAGACTGGCACTTGCAGGAAAAATCTGGGGAAGGAGGACAACTTGAAAAATCAGAGCAAAGATCTGTTCACTCAGGTCTGACCCTTTGTGGGAGATTCACTGTAGGCAGAACTTAGGTAGCTTGTAGTGAAGTAGTTGAAAGAAAATATGCTATACTGATCCTAAAGGGCCATCTTCTACACAGTTGTCTCCTGAGCATTTTTTCTGGTCACAGCTCAAGATGAAGTGACATAAAGCACAGGCCAGGCAGGCTGTAGGAGCTGTGAGCTGAGTGTGGAGTGCTGCAGTTTAGTATCCTTCTGCCCAGGCAGCCCTCTGTGTCAAAGACTGCCCTTACAGAAAGCCAGTTGGACTGTAAAAATAGAGGGTTACAGAGGTCAGCATTACACCATATTTCTTGTCCTTTATTATCTGAAGGGACTGAACTGCTGTTTGATTTGTGATGATGTTAAACTTACTGCCAAAGGTATATTATTTTGTGACTTGATACCCTGTTTTGCTATCAAGTTTGTTTCTTTATTTCTCATTAGGTGAATATTTTTCACCCGTGAGATTATCTGTTGAGTTAAATATAGCACAGGAGCTTAAGTATTTTCACCAAATTATCTATCTGCAGGTGGGAAGTGGAAGTTCTTAGCTGGTTGATGTACATTTTGGAACAGAGGTAGATGGCGGAGTAGTCCCCTTCAGAACCTTTCCCTAGAGACCCTCATGAGTCAAATCAGCTTTATAAGCCCACTGACTACAACTCATGTGTTGAAGTAAGCAAAGTCTGGAACATTCTGCCCTCATCAGCATGGCATTGTTTTTATGGTACATCATAGGGGAGTCACCTTGCTCAATTTTGACTTGTTCAGCCCCTTCTCTACCAGAAAAAAAGCTCCCAGTGATGGAGGAAGTCTCGCTACAATGTTTACTTGCTAATGAAAGAAGCAAATTAGTTTGCCTCTTTCAAGCAGACCATATTGTGACTGACCTCTCTGCCTGCTTCTTTTGACATCCTAAGGTGATCTTTAGCATACCAGTGAAGCAGGAAAGAAAAAATATTAGAAATTGAAAATATTTTCATATGCAGATGACCTAATGTATCTGTATCCTACAGCTTGTTGTTCATGGCTCAGAAGGCTGCTTGGGTTTAATCTGCCTGTCCATCGGAGTATATCTGAATGTACTTGCCACTTTCTTGAAATAAGAACAGAAAGTGTGAGGACCATCATTTGCAGTGTTCTTTGGAAAACATGTGTTCTGGTATGTCATCTGGGGCACCAGATTCACCAGGTGGCCTGTCTGGTGTTATTTCCAACTTTCTGTATGTCAAGCAACAGTGTTGTCATTGTTCTTGTCTAAGTGTTCCCAAACATAGCTGCTACTGAAGTTGGATTTCAGCCCACTGTTGTAAACTTCATTTCTGCACTTTGCAGAAATCAGTATTCTGAGCGGGTGGGTCTCCAAGCAAATCTGTACTCTAAGCCCACTTCTTGTACCTGTGTCCTGCAGTGGTCATGGTACGGCTGCAGGGAAAGCTTTCTCACCCAAGCCAGAATGTCTTTGACAACCTTTGTTCTGATTAACTCCATGGTGAACTCCTACTAGAGAAGATGTTCTGCAGGAGAAGTTCCCAACTCCATTTCTACCTGTCTTTTTTTATCCCTAGGAGACATCTTGTAGGGAGTCACTGCTGATCTGCTATGCTTTCCATACTGTTGAGGTGGTACTGATGCGCCAGAGGCAGAGGCTTCCTTCTTGCTGATGACTGAGCCAGCTGACTTTCAGCAGCTTTCTAGTTTGTACTGTAGACTGCTGTGTCACTTTCATACCTGTGTCATTGCTGATCACTCATCTGTGAAGCTGACACTGTTAATATTGTATGTATCCACTTTTGATCTGTCTTTTTAAAAGAAAATTTATAGTGAATAATCTTTTTTGTAGCCTTTCAGATTCTCTTGGTATTGTAGGTTTCAGTAAGCATTAGGGGAGCAATAAGCAGAGAGCATCTAACTTCTTTCTAAGGAAATAAATCTGTTTCTGAGGAAATAGTTATTTGTTTTTTCTCATTGTTAGAATTGTATGTAAAGTGCTGAATAAAAGGGTGCTCAGCAAAATTTACTGATGAAGAACTCATTGTATATTCATAGTTTGTAAAGAAAGTTGAAGTTTCTATGTGGAAAGCTAAGTGACCATCTAGGTGATGCGATATTGAGTTAATGTTGGTAAAGCAAAAGCAATGCGAATGGTAGGTAAATGGTGAACTGAAATACTTTACAGGGTGCTACTTTAGCGATAAATACTTGGAAAAACATTGATTAAACCAGTTTTGTGAAAATCTCTTCTGACGCTACAGCAGAGGTCATTAAAGAGTCAGTAAGATGTTGCAATAGGTAGAGATAAAGAATAGTGCATATCCCATGGTATATAAAATCAATACTTTCAGCTTATCTGTGATTCTTGGAAATTGCATCTCAGAAAGGGTGTTGTAGACTTAGAAAACCTCATGTAAAGAAAAAAAAATGGTTAGGGATATGAAAAAATACACTTGAAACAAAAGAACCTGGGATTTTTTATTGTATCAGAAGGGAAGTCTTTTTATTTAAAAATACTATGTTGGATGAGAATAATACCCAGCATTATGATAGATATTTCTAACTGTGGATGTGATGTAAAAATTCACATATCAAGTTCTAAACCAGGTGCTAATTAGAAAGAGTATTTCAAATCAAAGCATAAACTGGCCATCATCTGGCTACTGTTGGGTTTTGTTTTCTTTTTTTTTGTTTGTTGGGTTTTTTTTCTCTCCTAAAGCATCCTGTGTCAAACATAGGGTACTGATGTGGATGAACCACAGATCTCATCTGGTATAAGAGTTTCTATGGCGCTACATTCCATTTCTTAGAAAATCAGACCTTTCTTTTGAATAGTCATCAGTGGAGGCTTAAAACTGGCTAAAAACATATAGTTGTTAGAGCATACATTTTTATTTTTGCATGTACAGTGTGACAGTTTGCACATGGCAAGATGAGAATGAATTGTCTTTTCTTCCTTTCCCCTCCATCCTTCTAGGTCTGTGAAATGAGGCTTTTAGTGTCTGACATAGAATAACTTTCTGTTTCCATATGAATGCAGTGATAGTCTGGTTTCCCACAGAAAGATTTTCTTAATGCCTTTTGAGATCTTTGATGTTGTTTTATCCTTACAGTAGCTGATAAGTATCCTTATGAAGGATAAAATCATAGGAAACTACTTTAAGGAAATCTGGCAATAAATTAGAATGACTGACATTAAGTGTACCATGCATTTAGTAATGAAGGACGCTGGTAAATCAATCTTTTTAAGGCAGAGTAGAGATGTGAAGTAGAAAATACTCTTTTTCATACCCTCTTGATTTGTTTCAGGTCAAGTAAATAGTGTTAGTCTATAATTTTTGCTGCTAGAGTCTTAATATTCTGCTGGCTGAATATATTAATGAGTATCGGTTTTATAAATGTTGGTTAATCTGGGCACAAACGTGGATGTATTTATGTCATAAGATAAGACACATCCTTCTAAATTTCAAAACAATTTGTGTCAATTTCTTCTGCAAGTGTATCTAAAGAGGTGGATGATACTGTGATATAAGTCAGTGCATTAAGATCTCTATTCCTCTGTTTGTCTCACTTTATTTGACTTGAGTTTTGAATTAATCCTTGAGTCCCACAGCATGGCTTTCTTCTGTTAACTCATGGCTCAGATAAAGGTTTTGTAACTATCGTCGGGTCTGAATTTTATGATCTCGGTGGTGAAGGGTGCTCTGTATGAAAGGTTCTTGAAGAAGAGGTGTGGAATTCTGCAGAAGATGGCATGGAGTCTGAAGTCAAGATGAACCACTGTCAAAACAGCCAAATTTCAGAATGAGCTGAAGTATGTATTCATCTATTTGTCTTCACCAACTCGCACTAACATGCATGCTTAACCTTTTTAAGCATACAGTCTAGGGTTTTTTTCTTTTACCAAGACTCTGGCACCTGCTTGCTTAAAAGTAAAAACATATGTTCCTGAAGAGACCAAATCCATCAGTCACATACTTACTTGTGTATTTAAGCTCACTCATGTGCTTAAATTTAAGCATGGACATGTGGATTTGGAAGCTCAAGGCTCTACATATATCTACTCTGAAGAAGGAGCTATTATCCTAAACCTAAAATATATGTCACCACACAAATCATTGGGAAAACATAGGATTTTGTTCATTGCTGTTATTTAATATTTAATGGCAGTTTTCACACACATGGTGTTTTCAGTATCATCTTTAAACAATGTGGATAAAACAGTTCATATTTCATATGACACAATTTATAGTCTCTGTTGGAAGACTAGAGATAAAAGCTAATGATAAAACCTCAGAGAATTATGTAATTCCAAACTATAGGAATTATTAGTGGCTAATACTTACTTCACAGTGATATATCTGAACCAAAAAATTATTTAGCATACATGTGATCATATCAGTATATCTGCATGACTATATTAGGTGAAAGAATCTAATAATGTCAGTGATATTAATAAAACAAATTTAAAAAATAATATATAAGCCAAGCCATATAAAAGCCTCTGATCTCTGCAGTGGTTGAGTGTAAACATATGCCCATTGCAGCTTTGTGTTTGTTCTCTTCTTCATTTACCAAGTAACAGTGTTGTTAAGGATGCTTCTGTCCATTGTAAACTGTGCAGTTTAAAATATGAACTATAAACCAGCTCAAAAGAAACTGCTGTGGAAATATTTTAATATCCTGTGCTTTTATTAGGCTGGTATGAGTGTTCCATTAGTTCAGTAGGAAGCTTATTGCATTTATTTTTTTCTTGTGATGGAAATATTTTTAAAGGACTTTTGGTTAAAACACTGGCATTTAAATAGTTCCTAGCTAACGTTTGAAGACTCTCAGGCTGAATCAGACTTAATGGAGAGGATCAGATTAGTCCAGAGCCAGGATCCTGCTTTTTGGAGAAAGAAGAAAAGCATATAATGTGCATTAGTACTTAGCAGTACTTCTAGCATACTTCTATAATTAAAGTAAGGAACATAACCCAGCTCGTATAAGTCAATTTTGCTCCTTAGCAGGACTATCAGTATTCTCTGAGTGCAGCAACACTAAGCTGCAGTGTCACAAGTTTGTGACAAATGCCTTTCATACCTGCAGTTTTCTCAGTTCCTGGTACTGTTATGGAAGAAAGCTTTGTGTCCATGAAACTTGGTTTCTGTTTGTTTTAATTCATCCTGTGGCACCCATGATAGCTGGTGAGCTTACCCTAACAACTCTTCAACTGCTATCAGTCTGGCCTCTCTTCACACTCTCCACCTCCTTTGCTTTGCTTCCTTCCTCTTTCCCCTTCCCTATTCTTCCCCACCTTTCACTGTTCTTCCCCCTGCTCTTTACACTACTTTCTTTTCCAGTTACTCTTGAGGCTTTTCCTTTGGTCCACGTGGCACTTCATTCATTTTATCTGACTTCATCTGTTTTCTTTTCATGCCATTTTTTGGTCTTTCCTCAAGTAATCCTTTCTGCCTGGCACTGATTCATCAGGATCTAGAGGTCTGAATTCAACTCCTGTTTCTGTCTTAGTCTTCCTGTTAAACTTTGGGCAATTGCTTGAGCCTAGATTCAGTCTGCAGTCAGTGAAGCATCTACATGGAGAGAATGTGTGTAACAGGACTCAGTTCAACCCTCCTAAGGTGTTCCCACTTCCCTGAAACTTCCTCCATGTGGCTAAAGGGTATGTCAAAGAGCAGCAGTGGAAACACTTGCTTTGCCAAGGCTCTGGTGATGTTGCTGCATAGGGTCAGAGATAGTGAATGGGAAGCTCTCCTAGCTTCCTTCTCCACCTGGTTATCACAAGCCTTTTCCTTTAATCAGCTTGGAAGCAGAGAGGACATACCATTCCTGTGTACTAGTTTGAAAACAAACTAGTGGGAGACACCAATTCAGAATAACAATTTAATAGGGAAATAAAAAGAGGGAAAAAAAATATAAAGGCAGATAACACTGGGTTAAACTGACAGAGTCAGGATACAACCTGACACCCTGTTAATCAGGGTGGTGGCTGCAGTCCCCCTGAAGTGGTGATCCTGTAGAAAGAAGGTCTGCTTTTCCTCAGAAAGTCCAGTGGTGGCTAAATAGCTCCTGTCCTCTGGAAAATCCAGTGAAAAGGGAGGGTCTCTGGTATTCAGAATCTCAGAATTATATCCAGGCTGGAATGCTTGGTTCCTCCCTCTGGGTGGAGCATCTCACAATGGGATAATGAGTCATGAGGCCAAATGTTGATTAGGTTTATTAACAGAAGATGTTCCAGCGGGAGTTATCTCGGAGTTATGCTGCATGGCATTGATGGGCTATTAACAGAAAGATAGTCTGGGGGGAGGAGGCAAGGGAACACTGCCCCACCTGATTTCAACAGCTCATGAGGATGGTGATAGAATACACTGCAACCCAGGACATCCTGTTTGACTGTTTTTCTCCTTTTGTACTCAGTCATGTGTAGCTTTGCAACAGGTGGTGACAGGTGCTGTGATTTTGAAGAGTAGGCTTGTGAAGAGGCTGCATCACCTGTATAAGTCATCTCTATGAAGTAACTTCATAGCATGAAAAGTTTTCTTTAGTTTTTATTCAAGTCATAATTCATAGCTTTGTCGTTTTCTTGTGGAGTGCTTTATAGCTCCAAGTTATTATGTGAGTGTGAAATAAAACTTTTGTTTTCTAATACAAAGTTATTATTTTGAACTTATCTGTTAAATATATGTCCTGATGTTCTTTAAAAAGTTCTTGTGTGGTTGATTTATGGGCTGTGGCTTTTAAAAGCAAAAGTAGTTTGTGCTCAATTGCAGAGTACTTTATACTAAAATATTAGAACCATGACAAGAACTCAACAGAGCAAGGAATATTGTGGTTTTGCATTTTAAGTATTCATTACAAGTTAATGTGAATGCTGAGCTAAAATTGTGGAACAAGAATCTTTAATTCAGTCAAAAGGAAGGAAAACCAACAGGCAAACTCTGGACAAATTTTGTTAAGAATTAAAGAACCATTGTTTAATTTTTAACAAAAAAAACCCCTTAATTGAAGTTAATGTTTAAAGATACTGAGCCTCTGGGTTTTAGAATACAGATAAGTGACCATGGCTTTTACTGGCACCCAGTCATGCTGTGTGCATAGTTGTACTTACCCTGTCCTTATATGCTTTATTTACAAGCATGCTGGGGACCCACTGTACTCCCCTTTGGGTATGAAAGGAGCTTATACTGCTGGGACACTATGTTAGGATCCAGAGGGCAGGGGAAGGATACATGCCCTTTTCTAAGGGTACTGTTTTTCTTCACCTCTTGTTTACAGTAATTCTTCCTATAGCCAAAACCTGCATTAACATCCAGTCCAACTAGAAAGGGCAGAATATAGGCTGTTGTTCTGTGTATTAGTTCAAGCTCTTTCCCCTTCTCCTAACATGTATGCTTTTAGTGCTCTGAAATGTTTCCCTGTCAATAGGATCTCTCCTTTACTCTGTCCTGGTTTGTCACCTTGTGAGATGGACTCCTGCAGCAGTTGTGTGACTCGTGGGACTGAAGTGGATGATGAAAGTGCCTTAAAAGCTCGTAATGGGGGTGGTTTATTCTTTATCAAGGCACTTCTGTTTCACCTGGAGATGAATGTATGAAATGCAGTTTCCCTCTTAGGCAGGCAAGAGTTGATTAGCTGTAATATTTCATCTAGATTCAGTTAGTGGAAAGGAGCATTGAAGCTTTCTCCCCAGCTTGCTTGTGCCTTTGAAGACTGCTTCAAACAGATGTTTGAGGCACAGAAACTGAGAGGGAAGTGTGCAGTTGGTGCTTTCATTCTCTTCCTACCTTTGCCCACAAATGCCAAGCTGTAAGCTCTGTCCTTGTGGGGTAAAGAGGAAAATTAAGAGTAGGCATGAGCACACCAAATTTATCAGCACATCCATTGTCTGTCTGCATTTCTGGTTGTTAGCCAAAGTGCTGCCCAGGCTAATAGCATTCAAACTCTACACAGTAAAAACTAAAAGATGTTCATTTGCAAAGACTCCAGCTGTATTGTACTTGGCCTCACCTTTGCCTTGCCCATTAAGAGGGCGTGAACAGAAATTCAGAAAAGGCTGTTTAGAGACATTGTTTCAGTGTTTCCCCATGGCAACAAGAAAGATGCAGTAAATCCTAAAGGTTTCTTGACTGTAGTACACTTTCAAATCCCAGTTGCTGCTGGAAACTTGTTGAGTGCAAGATGCATCTTGCCTACCTCCCACTGTATGAGGGTTAGAGGATTAATTCAAGCTGGGCTTCTAGGCTCCAGCCATCAAGGAGAGACAGATGTGTCTGGAGATGCCCATTCTGTCCGTTGGCAGTGAAATTAGAAATCTTAGACCAAATGCTGATGTATTGGATGTATCATGTATGTAATTCCTGCCTTGAATTATGATATTTCTTATTTTGAAATGGAGATGTATTTTTGATTGAGAGCTAGAAGACCACTCCAGGAACACAGCGATAATGATTGCTCCCAAGTACCATTTTGATCAGTATAGCTCTGCTGTCTACTCTGAAGGCTCATTGCAGTTCTTCAGCTGTCTTTGCAGGTTTATTAAAAAAAATTCCTTCAAATTCAAAGGCATTGGATTGGGTAAGGGAAGCACTTATCACCATTTTACAATTTTTATTTTATTTTTGTCCTGATGGATGGTGAAAAAGACTCTTGACATTTTAGTTGGCTGCATTTGGCTGTCACTGATGTGGGATTAATTTATTTTAATCTGAAACCAATAAATTGCACAGTGACTTTACACATGCATATTTTGGCGTATCTGGAAATAGATAAAAAGAAAATACTCATAGTAGAAAATGCATTCCATATTCTTTGCTGTCCTTTTTCCTGCCAATTTAGCATTTATGTGGAATATTCTCTCTTTTGAATTCCAGACCATTTGAAAGTGATTGTTTCCTGGGATTTAGCATTTGAAGAATTATGCTCCTAGTGTATTTGAAGCTTAACCTAATCTTCCAACAGAGTTTAGTTGGGCTAGCTGTGTATTTACTCTGAATATTGTTTTTAATACACTGAGAATTTCAGCAGCATGCCATTCATATTACAGCTGATCCATGTCATAATCCTCTCAAATCAAGATGATGAAAGTATTTCTTAGTGTTGAAAGCTCTTTGTGCAAGATTTAAATTCACCACTTCTTAGAGCAAATCCAGTAGACTGTGAGCTGCTGCTTTGGTTTTTGTAACCTACAAGGCATACTATTAATGTTATGATTAGACTCTAATTGCACTGGTAGAAATTTAAATAATATTGAATATATTATATGTAACAGTAATTGCAAATAGAAATGTGAAGTTTAAAAAGTAGACCAGTGCAGCCAGTTCAGCAGAATTTGGGTTTATGAAAATTACACTGAAGGCACATTTAATTATTAGCGTCTTGGTTTAAGGTTTAAAAAAACCCCAAACCAAACTTCACCTACTTATTTTTTTGTTTACACTACATTCTGTAAAGAGTATACTGTCAGAAGTTGAACAGGAAAATATCAAATTCAGAAGCATAGTAGAAAATTCTTGTAAGGGAACCCTTACTTTAAAGCCTATTCCATTCAAATACAGTAGTTTAATTGTGGTTGGATGGCTCGCAAAGTAACTCCCCACCCAAACAATAAAATAAGTTCTAGAGATAATAGAATGTGAAGTTTGATTTTTCCTTGTGATCTGGAAAAGCACTATATTGGAGACAGGCTGAGCCACTCCACAGTGTTTTAGATGCAGTTTTGAGTATTATGAGGTTTTAAAAGGGAGCAATCATTTCAATTTCCTGCTTTTGCTTTTGGCTAAAAAAAGGAAGAAAAAAAGCCAACCCTTAAATAAAAGGAAAGCTTCACAGACAGGTATGGCAGCCAGTCCTGCTATTATGCTCTGAATTTCTTTCAATAAAATTATGAACTTGACAAAGAATATAGACCTGGACTGCTGAATATCAGATGTGCATTGTGAGCTAAAACTGTTGTCCATGTTTTTCCGTTGACAACTTTTAGGATTAAAAATCTCTCTGTGGTTAAAACATAGACTATATCACTGTATTGTCAGAGCACGCAAAAACTGTGCTGAAGAAAGAGTGATCATCTTGTTTCTGATTTACAGAGATTTTGCAGGACCTGTAGGTTTATTCCTCACATAATAAAAGATAAAATGACAATCTATATCAAGAAATGAGAACTCTTGTTGCTGTCAGGGTGTATTGTTATAGTGCTGAATCTTTGTAGCAGAATATACTGACGCAAATGGGTAAGTAAGATGATAGTAGACCTTGCAAGCGTCTTTCTTTGAGCACATGGTGAGTTTCTTTGGGTTTACTTTTAGTAAAATGAATACATTGCAAAACATTAAATGGACAAATAGTACTTGGCAGCAGGAAAGTCATGTTGTGTACCTTGCTGCAGGATGGAGTTGATTGAGAGCCGGCTGAACAGGAGCCAGCAGTGTGCCCAGGGGGCCAAGAAGGCCAATGGCATCCTGGCTTGTGTCAGCAATAGCGTGGCCAGCAGGGACAGGGAAGGGATCTTACCCCTGTACTTGGCGCTGATGAGGCCACACCTCAACTCCTGTTCAGTTTTGGGCCCCTCACTACAAAAAGGACATAGAGTTACTCGAACACGTCCAGAGAAGGGCTACAAAGCTGGTCAAGGGTCTGGAACACATATCCTATGAGGAGCAGCTGAGGGAACTGGTGTTGTTTAGTCTGGAGAAGATGAGGCTGAGGGGAGACCTTATCACCCTCTACAACTATCTGAAAGGAAGCTTCAGAGAGCTGGGGATGAGTCTCTTTAACCAAGTAACAAGCAATAGGACAAGAGGGAATGGCCTCAAGTTGCACCAGGGAAGGTTTAGACTAGATATTAGGAAGCATTTCTTTCCAGAAGGGGTTGTTAGGCGTTGGAATGGGCTGCCCAGGGAGGTGGTGGAGTCCCCATCCATGGAGGTGTTTAAGAGTAAAGTTGACATAGCGCTGGCTGTAGTTGGGAACTGTTAATGTTATGTCAGTGGTTGGACTGGATGATCTTCAAGGTCTTTTCCAACCTAGATGATTCTGTGATTCTGTGTGAGTGTAGGTGTGCTGATGCTCAGTTTGGAATGACTGGACCAGGACAGACATTTCAGGGCTTTTGCATTTGCTTTGTTACAGTTTAGCCCTTAAGACCCAGCTGTACCCAAGAGAAGGCTGAGTTTTGGAATAGGCATGGAATTAAAACAGATGTGGCTGAACGGGAGCTACTTTATTTATTTCAAAAAGTAAATGATCTTAATGATCTGTATTTAAATAAAGGAATAAATTAGATGCTTAGAAAGATGGAGAATAAATGAGGTAAATGACCAAAGCAGAGAGAAGGAAAAAAAAACCCTTTTATTATGACACACAGCCCTTTCTTTTTGTAGCTGTTTATGTATAAAGATGACAGAGTTATTGCAGCTGGCTAAGGCAGATTTTCCTTTGCTCCATCATTGCCACATTTCCTATCAGTAATGGATACCACTGCATACAAGGTCAACCTCTAGACGCACCTTTTGCACTTTCTGTTGAGGTAGTCAGATGTCAGCAATCCATAATTGTGTGAAATCTTATTAGAAATCAGTATTTTCTGAAGAGAGGAACTAATGCTTAGAAGCTTGAGGCTGCAATAGTACCAGGTGAAGAAAAATACATATTTCTTTAATATTCTCAAGAGTTTCATTTGTATATTTCTGCCAGTTTCTTCTTAATTCCATTACTTTTTGATTACAGAAGTCACAGCCACACACACACATGCAAACTATCTTCAAAGCAGTGTTTTTTTGTTGGAAATGGGCCTTGTACAATGGTGATACTTTGAAATTAAAAAAAAAAAAAAACAAACCACAAAACAAAAACAAAGAAAAGAACATTATCTTGTAGACAGGCATAAACGGACATATCCTCCCTATTCCTCATAGCAATCTATTCAATTTAATGAGCCACAGATTTTTTTTATATTTTGTTTTTAATTTGACTTAACGTTTTTATGAGGCAGCTTCTGTGGTAAGTCACATTAATTTTTTTTTTTTATAGTCACATTAACTTCCTTGCTTACATACAGAGTTTGCAGTTAGTAAATGCCTCTGACTTCCATAAAATATTCAAGGCAGGCTTTTATTACAATGATTTTTTTTTTTTATCCCTACTGCTAAACTTCAATCAGTTTAAAATTTGAAATGCATTAATGACTGTATAGTGTTGTAATATAATGTGCTACAATAAATGTTTTACAGTTAATGCTGGTTAGGAAAGGAGCTTATATAAGAGCCATTAATTGCTACGCTTAATTATGTAAAATACATAGATTTCTTATGAGTTAGTTCAATGTATAAACTCAACTACTGCTTAATAAAGTCATATAGCTTTCTTGATTTTCAAAGTGTACAAAAGGATTCCAGCTGAAATACTGAATGGCATCAGGCAGAAAATGACCTTTGCACTTTCGCCGAGGTTTGCTCAGTTATACATGCACCAATTCATTGCTTCTTTCTGTACATACTGAATTGAGTGACTGCACAATTCACTGAACATCTGTGTATTGAGACAACTGGTAACGTGTCAGGTGAAATGTTGTTAATCAAAATGTTTTGGACATTTATAAATTTGCTGTTGGTGATAATTAATCTGTTCTGTACCTGTGAGGAGACCAGCCAGAAGTATAAAATAGATAGAAAATTTCCCTGAATGGTCAGGGGACTCCCTTTCATGTAATTGAATTCTCAGGGGCTGCAAAGCCAGCATAGCCGACATGGATAAGGGGACAGAACAGATTAAGTAACTCTGAAGATGAAGATCTGTGGCTATTAAGTGCCATTATGCAAGAAGCATAATTTATAGAAGTCTTAACATTGTAAATTGTATTGGTTTTATTTGTCCATTTGCAACAAAGTCATAGAGCTGAAAACACTGTAGAAATACAATACCGGCTTTTCTCATCTTTGTTGAAACCAGCTGAGGACCGAGCCATTTACTTTAAGAAATAGACCTTGGCCAAGTACAAAATCAGAAACTCCACACCCTATTTATCAGTCAATATCCTTTCTAAGGTTCTGATCCAAACCTGGCCACTTTGCTTTTCTCCAGCCCATGGACTCAGGATCTGATTTCCAAAGAGCTAAGCCTTCTGAGAACATCTGCCTTCATGTAATTTCACTACCTTTTTCTGCTGAAAATGTTTTCTTGTTCTTAATATTTGTGTGGCTTCATTGCTGCTAGCTGTAGAGATTGGCCATAAAATAGGTGCCAGTGTTTCAACAGCTGTGTCATTTGACTTTGTTTAGAGCAGGTTGAGTTGGTTCACCGCTTTTTTGAGACACCTAGCTACCTCTCTTCAGCAGAGCTGTTATCAGGCTCCACGTGTTCCATTTCCTTGTAACCCTCACAAGGCTTTGGGGAATTCAGAGCTTGAAGCAGTCTGGATCCTCTTGACATTTTGTCAGTCTTTGTGGAATTACAGAGAAGAGGTGAGAGTATAACTCAAAGAAGCTTCATAGGAAAGCACTTGTTGCAGTTTTCATTCATACCCTCAGCCTGAAGCCAAAAATGCTGTAAGAATTTTTTCCCCAAACTGTAGAGCCACTATCCACAGTCTTACTAAATATTGTTTGTTTTAGGAATAAATAAGAATAATAAATCAAGAAGAAATACTTGCCTGACAACAATGAGCATTTTTTTCATTGTTGCTGCATTTTGCTGCACCTCTGCACAAACAAATATATGTGGGAACATCTGAACATAGAAATCCAATTGCAGATAGGTACTAGTAAAACAACATTCCTCTTCTCAGGTTTTCCTGAATGAAGATTCCTTTAAGAAGCTTAAATTGGCATGGGTACCTGATGGCTTGTCTTTCCTCCTCTCTCTTTCAAGCTTCTACTATTCCACTGCACATAACCCATTTTTCTGCCTTTCTGCCAGTGTGCTGGACTCCATTTCTTCCCTTGTTTTTTCACCTGTGTTTCCTCATCTTTCTGTTTGCTCTTGTACAGTTCCTTGTTCCACACATTCATTCTAACATTACTGTGCCCTCATCATCTCCCTTTGTGTCCATATCCTCCAGCCTCTGCTTATCCTCTCTCTTTAGTTGGCTGCTCCTCTTGAATGCTTCTTTTCTTGTGATCTGTTCTTTGCCCTTCTGTGGGTTCTTCCTTCCCCTTCTTGCCTGAATTACTGAACATGACTCTACTTTAAAATAATCAGAAATAACAGATGTTTGTTTGAGTTACCTCACTTCTTTCTGTATAGGGTATAAAAAAGTGGTGATTTTTAGCTCAAGACAGTCTATTTTAACACAGTGACTGCAAACCCCCCAAAATTCAAGTCTCTTCTGGTTGTCTGGACAGCATGGAAAACTGTCCTCACAGAAGATGAGGAGACTCTCGATAATATTTTACTTGGTCTGTTGACAGAAGCAGCACTTACTGTAGCAGGAAGAAATGAGAACCCAGCTGAAATAAGTCCTCTGATTTATACTTGTCAGCAAAGCTGTAGGGAGACATTTTGGAGCTCAAAGTACCCTTGAGTCCTTTTCTGCCATCATATTCTCAACTTGGAGCAAATGGGTTGAGTATGCCACAGCTTGACTGTAGGCTTATACCTGCCTACCTTTCTTATCCCCTTTTAGAGCATTTCTGCCCCAGTGTTGCCATGACCCTGACTGTACCCAATTCTCAATTAGTTTGAGGCACATAAAGTCAGAACTAGCTCTTGTATAAGGAGCATGTGTAATCTACAATATTTTATGAACCATTTGGGGAAGGCATGAATGTTCCATCTAATGGAAGTGCTGGGAATTCTCTTTTCAGTAAGATACACTACTTATTTCTAACTTCGATAGAGATTGTAATATAAACCCATAGCAATATAGAATGAAGACTTGCAAAAATGTTTTTTTGTGTAATTTATAGCATTTTCTAAAATGTCTTCTTGTTTTTTCCTCCCTTAGAGACGTGTGTAGAAACTGAATAATGATTCAGAGACAGAGATGTGAAATATTGCATCAATAAGATTTTTTTTTAGTACTCTTTTTTCCTAAACTGAAAAACATTTCTGAAATATTACTTATGAAATATAAGGCAAAATTACCCAGCCTAGCACATTTGCTTGGTGAGTAACTCACAGCACTGGTAATAGTGATTAATATGGTGTGCAAACTCTTACTGACAAGATCTTGACGCAGAATCACATAAACAAGTAATATGTTGGCCTTTCACTCATCTGCACTTCTCCGGATATTTAAAAATTCACATGCAAAAAGTGTAAACACTTCTGGCTGAAGTAAAGTAGCAACACTAATAATGTTTACATTTTAAGCTAATTTCTTAATGCTTCATTTAATCGTTATTTTTTTGTAAATTATTTTACAATTTTTATATTTCTTTTCACTTTTGGTACCGAAAGACAAACGTACATGTTGTAATGTAAGACTAATTTCATTCCTTGCCATTTTCTTTGGAATTTTTTATTTGTTCAAGTGTTACAACTTCCCCATTTTTCAGCTAGTGTCATTTTTTTCTTCACCTGTTTTGGCACATTTCAGATCTGTGTTTTTCTTCCTTCTCTGACTATTAATGGTACATGTGTTTTGGACATTTATCTTCCATACTCTCATGTTTGTGCAGAGGTAGATAATTAATTTCCCTTTTATTGTCAGTTTTCTTATTTCCTTAAATAATTTTTTCTTTTCCTTTTCTGATAACAAATCTTTTCTGCCATCCTTTCAGAAACCAACTAATGATCTTCTGTGTTGTATGCATTTGAAATATGCTATTCTTTAACTAGTTGTTTTTTCCAAAGAACATACCTGTTCTGAAAATGGGATAACTTCCCATTTGGTCTGAAAACACTGTCTTTGAAGGTTTGTGATTCTGTGGTTGCTATTCTTTCCCATTGCAGCCTGCCATCTAGTTTTGGCATCTTCCATTCTGTGGAAGAGCAGGAATGCTATTTCACTTCAGAATGCTTTCTGTGCAAGTCAAGGAATAGTGGTATCCTTGAGAGATGCTGGAAGGTTGTGCAGAGCTATTTTCAACCAATCTAGCTGACCAGCTTTCTGGTCAGACACCTGTTAGACAGCACTTGAAGGAAATCCCATGGGGATTTCAGTTTTTGCTTATTGAAATCCCTCTGTTACTAGCTTTTGGGGGTATACTGTTTCAAATGGGAAAGTTCGTTGCATGACCTGGGTAGAAACTTATTGTCCTCCTCCCTTGCCCTTACTCCCTCCTGGTTTAATGGTTAAGGTTTTTGACCATACTGCGTGTCTGTTTTCTTGTGCTGGGTTATTCAGCATCGCTTTGAGGTGATCTACTCTTCTAAGCAGAGGTGCTTTAAATTGAGAATCTTCAACTCCTGAAATTAATTTTGTGGATTTGACCTCCAGAGCCAACACATGTTCATCTCGCTTGTACTTCTTTTGCCCTGCTGAGGAAAAACCTGCTGAGAACTACCTCTGCACCAAAATCCTTTTACCTCTAGAGGCCAGACAATCCTCATTTTGGTTGAAAGGCTTGGGGATCTTGAAGACAAAGGTGTTATTACAGAGTCTTAAATGGAATGATGATGATATTAAATGCAGTTCTCTTAGACAGTGATTTAACTTTTCATAGTTTGGTGAGCCAAGGAATCTAAGGCAAGGTTCTTAATGGAAGGCCTTGAATTAAGAGAGTCATCACAGTGGCTTTCAAAGATCACATTACATTTTCCTCTCAGAATATTGTGGTGTTCTATATCTCAATCAAATGTCTATGATGAGAGGCAACCATGATAATATCAGGTAAGAGAAACAGAACCTTGTGTCCCTTAGAAAACTCAAAAAAATGGTAAATGTGATTATTTGGAAAGGTGCAAGTAGTACCCATTCAACTGTATTTTGTTGCTTCTCTCAACCACTCCATGTTTTTATTGTTGAATTTGTCAAAAACCCCCTGTCTTGGCAAAGGGGATCTGTAATGAGATATGTACATGTAGATTGTCCAAGATTTACCATACTGCCAGCAAATATTGGATGTCCTTATTTGGTTTCAATGGAACATACTACAATAGACCTATTATATTTAATAATCTACATTAAAAAGGTAATTAAGACAAGAAAATTATTATTTCCATGCCAAATATGAAGATATAACCTATTTCAAGATGTGTGTGAGATGTTTAGGGTAAGAATCCAACCAATGATGCTAAGAACCTTGTGGTATTTCCAACACCAGTAATTTCAGTGGCCAAGTACTATATATCTTTGGTAGGGTGAGGAGGTTCCAGTGGGACTGATGCTCAGGTACTCAAACTGCTATGTCCATGAGAAAAATCCATGAGTCCATGAGACTGCATCTCCTAAGGTGCAGTCAGCAGTACCACTTCGGAATATCACTGTGATGTTCCATAGACTTCCCCATTTCTTCCTCTTCATTTCAAACTGTGAGAATGGCTTTCATCTCTCTGTGATCTGGTCAGTGGTGTGTCACTAGACATCTAAGGCCATCTGTATGAGCTGGCACCTCCCGTTCAGTTAGCTATTTGTAGTTGTATGGTACGCCTCAGAATTTTGTTAGCAGGGTAAGCTCTTTCCTTGCCTCTCACAGTGATGAGAAAGTAACTGGAAAACTAACCTCCAGAGTAGTCAATCCTGACTTTTTATGCAAGTGGACTCCAGATTTCTCAAAGGCTTGGATTTTTATCAATTATTTTTCCTCTTTCTCAATGTTTCTGTGAATAGTTCAGTGCTACACTAGGTCTGTTTATTTAACAGTGTCCAGCAATGTAGATCAGTTTTGCATGGTCAGTTGATATTACCAAGTTCACATCCTTTTGTGAAGAGTTAAGAGGCAGTCTAAACCAGCACAAATATTTTTTCCTCTTTCTTATTCTGGTTACTTATATTGGATATGAACACATTAGCATAGGATCATCTGTCTTTCCTTGATAGATGGAGACAAAAAGGGAGAAGATTTTGAGTATCCTGTGCTTTTAATTTCTGTACTGTTTTCAGTTTGGAGGGAAGGGAGATGAATATGTGTCACTTGGAAATTTTTTTCTGTATGTATCTGTCTTTACTTTCCTAGTTAGATGATACTGAAAGACCTGTATTAGAAACTTTGAAGACCCCTAGTTTTTACTTATACTTGGGGTAAAAAATACTCAAACTAAATGGTGTAAAACCTTTGCAAAATTGAATATCACTGTAACCATTAACCTTGTTAGCCAGGAGCATGTGCTTTTTTAATGTGGATGTGGAGTTTCAGCTATAATTCTACTTGCACATGCCCAGGAGTGGGGAGTAGTTTCAATCCCGACTGTTTCTATTACTCTTTTACTTCTGTCCTGATTCACCATGTTTATCGGTGATTCAGAACCTGAGATTTTTGTTAGATGTGTGTTATAATGTTAATTACTAGAGGGTACTATCATTGACTATAGAAATAGAAGTAATTTGTTGTTGTAATGTATTAAGTTCAGATTCATCTGATCTTTGACAGAAGTGAAGTAACTTCAGATCCGAGGCTTTGTTCAGTCTCTGTTCTGTCTCTCTCTCCTTCTCTCTCTTCCTTTCCCTTTCCCTTCCTCAAATGGTGTAGCATGTAAGTATTTGTTATTAAAAAAGAAAGGAAAACAAATTGACAGTAATGGAAGACTGAAAACTTCATTAAAAGAACTGTATAGGGAATGGTGGTTCAGCTCAGAAACCAGCTCTCAGAAACAAAATTGAATGCAGTTCAGTCATTGTGCCACACAGTGTCACAGTTGGACTTCACTTCCTTCCACGCTGTATCTTTCCCATTGTAGGTGAACCCACAGAAGCCACAGAAGAGGGGTCTGAAATGTGGGGGGCAGCTGAAGTGCAGGAAGATGAAGATACTCGTGTAGAAGTTCCGCTGGACCAGGTATTGATCGAGCTTTAAATAAATGGCTTTTTTTTTTTTTTTAAGGATCACAGGTTGTGTGGGTTTTTTTCCCCAATTTCTTTCAAGTGTAGAGCATAATTCCGTAGGGATGATTGTAACAGCTCAACGATATGGCTTCTTTTACGGGAGCTTTAACAAATCTTCCTTTCTCTGTTAATGTGTCAAATATCAATTAGATTTTCATCAGCTTCAGAACTACTCTGGGAGCCTGTATAGGGCCTTAGAGAATCAGGACTCCCTACTGTCACAACCTACCATATAGATCCACCTGGATGTCAGTCCCTTTATACTGGTGGAGCAGTGTGAAGGGACTATGGCATAGAATCAAGGTCAGAAGTCCTGAAGGCCTGAACCACGAACAGGCATGGATTTATCTGATTTTTATTAAGACTGCCAGCATTTTCTTCTGTTGGAACAACATGGTACTTAGTTGGACAACTTTTTAATTCTAAGATTTATGTGCAATAAATAGTTCTTGAGAACTAAACATAAGATTATATCCCCTTTGTTTTACTTTGATTTGTTTTTAAAAGAAACTTCTGTGAACTGAAATAATACAGGAAGAAGGTAAGTTAAAGTTTATTCCAATGAAGTGGAGAATAGAACTGTTTAAATTATTTGCTGAAAAATTACCTTTTTTTTTTTTTTTTTTTCTACTAGTGAATTGCTCACAAGACAGTCCTCTTTTTCATCTTACTTGTTTGTAAGAATTTGCCAACTTGTTCACCCTTGTGTCCAGTCCACAAGATGTTGCATTATGCTTTTCCTATCTGTTGATAATGACTTGGGGCCAGACACCTAGGCCACAAGATAATTTCTGATCCATGCTGCAGTGTAAGGCATCTCAGTTTACCCAATTTATTTCTCAGCCTAACAGTCATCCCAACAACATAATGGATTCTTGGGCATTTTTCTGACTTCCTGGTGGTCAGCTCGGTGCTGAGGAACAACTGTTAATGTGAGATTGTAAACAAATGAGAGGGAGACAGTTTACCCCAGGCGACATGATGGAGCACAAGCCATACAGGAGATTTCTGGAGTGTGTTGGAGACAATTTTTTGATATAGGTAGTAGGATACATGATTAGGAGAGGCATTCTGCTGGATTAGGGCATCTTCCTCAAATCACAAGAACTACCCCCATGTGCAAGAAAACAAGCAGGCATAGCAGGAGGCCATTTTGAACAGAGGGCTCTTGACCTCATACTAAAGGAGGTAGAGTGTGGTAAGGAGAAGAAGGGATGGATTGCTAAGGAGCAGTATAGAGATATTGCCTGGGTGTGCAGGGTTGGAATTGGGAAAGCCAAAGTTTATTGAGAAATGGAAACTGATACATGTGATTGGGAATAATCAATATGGATTTACTATGGGCAAATCATAGTTAAGCAACCTCTTTGCCTCAGTGATGAAATAACTGGCTCTCTGAATGAAGGGATAGCAGTTATTGTAATTTGTCTTGCTTTCAGCTTAGACTTCTGTATTTGTAGGAGAAATTGTAAGAAGCATAGTAGATATGGGGTGGAAGATAGCCTTAAGAAAGGTAGGGACTGGATGTGTGGGCTACAAGTTAGACAAAAAACTGTCTGGATCAGTGGAACTTAAAAGGTCAGTTGGTTGAAATTTAAACAGCACCTGTTTACAAATGGTGGTTCTCAGGGTCTGATACTGGGTCTGATACTTTTTAACATGTTCACTGGTAAAATGGACAATGGCATGGGATGCAGCCTTATCCAGGCTCAGTGGTAAAGCTAAGCTGTCATTATCAGCTGATATGCAGGACTTCCTTTCAGACCAATCTCAACAGCTTGAAGAAATGGACTGACTCAAGCTTCATGAAGTTCAGCGAAGAGAAATATGAAGTTGGGTGCCAGGAACTCAGTAACTGTGTCGGTACAGTCTTGGCGCAGGAAGGCTATGGAGCAACTTCAGGAAGGGCCATGCAGCTCCTGTGGCTAGCAAGTTGATGATGAGTTGGTGATGCTCCCTTTTGGTGATGAGTTTGGCTGTGCAGGCTGGGCTGGTAAAAGCACAGCCAGCACATCAAGGGAAATTATTATCTTCCTTGACTTGGCACCTCTGAGGTTGCATCTAGAATATTTTGTCCAGTTTTGAGTCCTTCCCAGTACAAGAGAGATATTTACAAACAGGAGAGGGCCCAGCACAGCAACACACTAAAAGGTTTAGGGGGCTAGAGTTTATGAACAAGGAGAAGCTTGGGGAACTGGGTTTGTTTCATCTTCAAGGCTAAGGAAGAGAAGACAGATCAAACTGCTCTCCATAGCTACAGAATAGAGTAACAGAGAAGATGGAGCCAGGCTTTTCCCTGTGTTGAACAGCAAAAGGATGAGGGAATGGCCCAATGTGGCAGCAAGGAAAATTCTGACTGGATGTAAGAAAAACGTTTTCAACAGTGAGAACTCTAAGCACCTTCCTGTCCAGAGATGATGGGGAATCTTTGCCTTTGGTGATATTTAAACCAGACAGGGCCTCAAACAACTTTGAAGTTAGTGCAGCAGGGCACTGACCTAGATGATCTCTAGAGCAGTAGTCTTCAAATTGGAGTGTACACAGACCAGGGGGTGTGCAAGACAATCCATTGGGGTACAGGAAGAAAATGTTAGAACTTCATTAGTACACATATATAATTTATAAATAAATAAACATATACTGGGGATTTGTGCTCAAAAAGTGATAGGAGTGTGCAATCAAAACAGTTTGGAGACCACTTACCTACAGGTCTCTTCTAACATAACTTTTCTGTGATTCTGTATTTGTCCATCTTTGATTATTTCAGACCTATAATCAACTTCTTTTTAGTAAACTTTTTTTTTTGCTTACTATTTAGTTGGCTGATTTTTTTTTTCAATTTACTTTTATTGGGTAAAAGAATACTACACATATATACATTTTGCTTGTGTTCTGCTTTTAAAAAATGCCTGAGGGGAAGAGAGAAGTATTATACTTTTTATACTTTGTATATCAATTTCTGCCTGCATTACTAATCTGTACATTAACAAAAGCCACATATGAAGTTGCTACTTTAGCCATTTTGAAGAATGGTGTCATACCATCTGGAAAAAAATCTGGATCTCTTAATTTTATTTTAGATGGCTGTTTCTAAGAAGCTTCATGCTTAGTGATTTATTCACTATAATGGGAAGGAGTGTTGCTCAGCTGTTTTACAGACATTGTTCTTGAAGGCATGTGAATGAGGTGATTGAAAGAGGCAAGAGCATGACTGTCCTGGTCCCTTATATAAGGAATTCTACAGCTGTGCCTTTTCACAGCAAATACCTGCCCCAGCCTCAGAGACTCATGTGCTAAACACCATTGGGCTCATCAGCCCTGTTAATTGCAGTTGTCCTGAGGTGCTGTGATAATTAGGATATGTTGGGTTGTACTGATAGTACTGACATTAAGGAAGAACATGCTGCCTGTCGTCTTAATCTTATGAGATCCTGAAGTATATCCTGCCCTGGTCTTGACAGTGTAATAATCAAACTGAGAAATTACTAGTCTGTGTATTGGACTCTGAAGGTGTGTAGAGAATTCCTCTGGGTAGCATAAAGCATTTGAGTGTAAATTGGGTTGTCAGGTCTTAGTGTTTAGGTTGACTGCAATTCATATGAAATCCAAGAGCTCTGGAGATGGCTGCCTTACTTCTCCACTGAGATCCTACAGCACAGGCAACAGCTCTGCCCATTCTGTTGTGTGTCTCACTGGTTTGCCTCAGCCAGAGGATGGTGACCATCACTAGAGAAGGGAAAACAGTTAACTCTCCACTACCACTTCTGTACTTGGCAGCGGTAGCCACAGTTGATACAGTTGCCAGTGAGCATGGGATGTACTAGGAACTTGCTTGATACCTCTAAGCTCATGTACCAAGGCCCAGGCATTGTCCTCAGATGGAAATATTTTCCAGTTGCTACCAACTGATTTTGCTACCTGGACAAGGAACTGGATGCAGATGTGTTTGAGGGGGAAAAGCATTTAAAATAATCAGTCATGCAGACTATTAGTAATCTGATTTTCATATTTTCAGAAAAGACAAAGGAGCAAATTTTATTGCAACTCAAGCTATGGTTTATTTTTCATTTTAAAATTTCATATATAGTTTCCTAGGTAATCTGGCAAGAAGCCAGGTCCTTCTGAGTAGCACTGGGTACTCTTTATTCCCAGATAACTAAGGTTATTCAGACCTTGGAAGCATTTAGCATTTTACATGTTAAGGTTCTTATTAATGATCATTTTAAATTGTTTTAAATTCTGTGATGTAAAGCTTTATAGCTTTTTCTTATCTGAACTGCAGTTCCTGTTATTTCTAGAAATATGGAAAAGGACAGCCAGCCAGGGCTTGACTATCTTGCATAATGCATAAATATTTACATGCCAGCTTTCACTAGTATGCTGACACTTCTGATATGCTATCATTTCTATCAGTCACATAAATGAGGTGCTGAAGATAGAGTTTAGTCTTTTTTCTTTTTACGCACCTTCCCTGTTTTGCCATTTGAAGTACATGGTTCAACAAATGCCAGATTAACCATTAACTAAACTTAGTGTAATACTGGCTAGACACCCGCTTATGTCCTATTCTGTAAAATACTGTCTGCCAGCTGAGAACACATTAAAAGAACAGGATTTGCTTTACTCCAGACTAGCTGACAGTTGTAATTGAACATCAAGGAGGAAAAATCAGTGTTTTGCCTAAAACCAAACCAGACCCTTCTGTTCTGTATTCCGTATTGAGACTTCAGCTTCCAAATACAAAATGGATAGTTTCTTCTTTTGACATGCAGACTTACTCCAGGTTGGTTGTTTACATCACTGAGTCAACATCTGTGAGAACTGATGACAATTGTGCAAATAGCAATGGAACAAGGTAGTTTTATTGCAGTTCTTGGCAGGGAGGCAGCAAAACAGAAGTTTGTTACCTGAGGTGGTAATTAAGTGTGTTGAGTTTGCTGATAATAATATAAA